TATAAACTCTTTAAAATGTATCACAAAAACTACAGCTTCCACTAAACTAAAGTTATTGGTTTTTGGTACTATAATAAAATATAGTTACCCGGGTAAATTCCCATTAGGGTGTAATGTGTAAAATAGATCCACTGTCTATCCTGATAGGCTAATACAGTTGACTTTAGGTTAATGGGATTTCTGTAAGAATGTTTTATTATTATAACTTTTTTTTTTACTGCAGTATATTTAATGACAGTTTTGTGCCATCCTGAAATGAACAAAATTGCTAGAGCAGCCTACTGTTGCCATGGTTACACCTCAGGCGACCGGTTTTATTTATCAGGTGAAAATACACGCTTTAACTAACTTGTAATTTAACTTTTATGGTTACTGAACTGTTTGAAATGGATATGTGACCTGCTGTTTAAGATTTCATACGTCTTATATATTAAAAACAGATATATTTTTAAGACAACCGCCCCATAAGCTTTTGTTTGGACCAGTGGTTCCCAACCCTGGTCCTTGAGGCACCCCAACACTGCACATAGTCTTCTTTCTCTGACACACCAATTTCAGGCCTTGGAGTCTCTACTAATGAGCTGATGACCTGAATCAGGTGTGTTTGATTAAGGAGACATGCAAACCCTGCAGTGTTGGGGTGCCTCCAGGACCAGGGTTGGGAACCACTGGTTTGGACTATGAGGGGATGCAAGTCTGAAGTATAAGGTCATAATTATGACGCTGAATGTATTTTAAGTCGATATAGCTCTGTTTACATAACCAGGTCGATATTCATATGTAATCAGCTCAGACTGATTTGATTGTCAATGCTTGTTAACTTGTTTCCATTGTCCAATACATTCTGTGCACATGACATTAAGAAGGACGCAACGGAGTAGACAGCGCCGGACTCCAGGACGCGTCCTGCCGAAGCGATGCCGGTGTAACCGATACCAGCCGCCGGTGAGGGAGGGATGAGGGCTATTCCCGTGGGATGATCACGTGTCCGTGGGGGGTAGTTGTGTGTGGAGCCAGTGGGATAGGAGGTGTAGCGTCAAGCGCGTCGTTCAGACTTGATTGTTACAGTAAGGAAGCTGTCAACACAGAGCCGACTGTATTTGCGCGTGTTTATTGCTTTGCTCGGAGCGAATGAAAATGCACGTGAGGATTGAGGATCTATCGATCGATTTCCATAAACTTCTGCGCGCATCTTAATCGCAACAAACGCGCAGCGGGCTCCGCGTAATATCAACGCTACTGTTTACTATCGCAACAAGATACGCGAAATACAAAGGACTGTCACTGCAAATAAAGGTAAGTACACGGATTTCTACAGTTGTATAAGTTATAGAAACAACTCAAACGTATACAGATCGTTAGTAGTAGTTATGGTTTCCCTAAAACATTAAGATAAACCACTATTTATTCAAACGTTTACTCTGAATATAACGTTATAGAAAGTTGTTCCGGTGCTTTGTTAATTAATGTCACCATGTAGATATCAAAATCTTAAAACAGATCTTGGCTATATTATGAACTTTTTTATTTATGTATTTTTTTATTAATAGTTCACCCAAATATATAAATTTATTCATCCTCATGTCAATATGGCTTTCTTCTATGCAGCTGAAGATAGTGATGGGTGGCTGAAGCTACCATGCTCTGAATGGCAAATATTTTTTTTTTTAAATAAAATCAAAGTGGCCCATATGTCTTCCAAACAGGAGGAAATTTAAATCGTTATTCATCTATAATTTCCCCCATCAGTGAGTCATTAAGCACTGCCACCAGATTAATGCTAATTAAAAGATTAGTGTGCTGAACTCAAGAACAGTTGTAATGAAAAAAATGGTCTGTTCCAAAAAAAAAATGTTAAATTCACTAAAACCCTGTATTACTAATATAGTCCACTGAATGAGTGAATGAAAACAAGTGAGCAAATTTGGACTCTGCATGCGTCGGATATGCTGCAGACTATCTTCTGGGGAGACGTGGGTATTTTTAACGGCTACATCAGTTGTATGGGGTTGAATGAGTGTGCTTGACAATGTCCACTATGGTTTTGGATACCACTATAAATGGCTGTCCCTTCAAATTATGTATCTATATAAGAGTATAGGGGGCGATAACAGATCAATCCATTGAGTTAGCTGATCTCAAGGACTGGTTTCATGAAAAAATGAGGTCTGCTCGTTGTGTTCGGCTAGGATTCGTAATGCCTGATCAAACAAAAAAGTACATTAATAAAAATATGTAACATTAGTGTAAGCTAAGGTAGCAGTTTAATCAACTAACAGTATGCTAAACTAATACACTGAATGGTTAGCTTGCAAAAGAGTGGCCAATCGTGTGCTCATTTTTCTTTCGTTTCACAGTAAATGTAAATGATGACAGGATTTTCATTTTGGGGTCAACTGTTCCTTTATATCATGTACAGCTTCAGTGCATTGCATGTTTGTCAGTATCTTAAACAAAATTGACGTCCTCTGTTCCCATGGCAGAAAAATCAGAACTGTGTGGAGGTGTACCTGCCCTTAGCGATGAGGAAGCATATTACACGCCTCTGTGTTGAAAATGTCTGTTTTTCATTCAGCGCGGTTCATGTGGGGTATTTTGTTTGTAGCCAGTTGATTTTCATATTGCGTCTGAATACATCATTTAAGGTTACAATGCATTGTTGTGCACTGTGAGTTATTTTGGTGGCAATTCTTCATGAAAGTTTTGTCATCCCCATTGTAACACTGAGCTTACTGTATATCCGCAGGGGACCGACACCTGTGTCACCGGCTGTGCTGTCAGAACTGATATGACGTTCATGTGGCTAGATGCATTTCAGAAATAATGGTTTACAGTGCAGGTTTTCAGTTGCACCACTTGGAACCAGTCTTTAAATCTTGTTTAAAAAGAACAGAACTAGTTTGTCATGATTATAATAAGAACTTTTCATAGGATAGTTTGTTCTTGAGGAAGTGGGAGGTACAGTATTATGTTGGCACTCTGTTGAGCCTTAAGATGCAGTTAAAAGGTGCCCAGACCTGCAGTTGAAAAGGACTCCTTTAGTGTTGTTTCAGCCATTCTTCTGTGTATGCTGAGTAGCCTCAACTTCCTGCCTGTATTGTAGGGCATTCTTAAACTAGCAACAAACATCCAATTTAGACCACCCTAGTGTTATGTGACACATGAGAAAATCCGTTACCATGTATAAAGGCTTCACTATCCAAAAGCCTGCTTATATTTATGGAAAATCAACTCTGATTGCCATCGTCTAAGAGCTGTCTTTCCTTCTCTACCACTGTAGCTCCAAAGGGAAGAAAAGTTTCTCGATATTAAAAAGCACAGAATGTAATTTTCCATGGCTGACCTGCTGTGCCAAATGCATTACTTGAGGCTATGTACTATTCTTATCTCAGGCAAGGCAGCCTGAGAAAGGTTGCTGAAGAGCTTGAGGATATATCTACTGAAAATATTGAGATATGATTCCATGATGCCAGGAACCTGGTGGAGATTAGGAAGGGGGTCCGTTAATGTTGTTAGTGTCTCGTCAGGGGTTTAATATTCAATTAGAGTCCTGCGTTCGTGCCAGCACTTATTTAAATGTGGCCTTAAGGTTGATTTAAAAAATTTCGTATAATAAGCATTTCTGTAGTTTACTGTCAATGAAGCTTAATCACTTGGAGATTTGACAGTAAGACCTGCTGTGATGATGGTCGCAAGTAACAGCTTCTCACATTTTCCATCTATCTTTTGCTGTATCCTTATTTTTCGCTGCGTGAACTTCTAAGCCAATCCAGTATGTGATCTCACATTGATTTACTGTTCATATTGTGGTTCTCTGTAGTACTTAATGTGCTGATTTAAACTCTCCTTCTGTTTTCACCCTGCACATTGAGCTCTCACTGAATGATGACTCAATGGAGCTGACTGCATGGCAGGCCACGTTATAATGCACACAGCTTTTTCTAGGAGAGCCTTCAAATAGTGCAGCCTTGTTGAAATGGGTATGACTAATTTTGTTTTGAGCCAGAGTCAAGATGAGGTGACGTTGTGCTTTTGAGAGTAGTTCATCACAAATGCCCAGTGTTGGCCAAGCTCCATATTGAGTTTAGGAAATGAAGCCCCTCATGGCAGATAAACCCATTCTGATGTGACTTTCGTTCCACTTTTTAGTGGATTCAGGAGTATCTGTTATCAAGTGCCATTTAATAGATTTGTAGGGTCTTAAGGGTCTATTTTAGGGGGAAAAAATGAATTAAAGCTACTGTAAAATTACATTTTATAGATTGGTCCCACTGGAAAACCTTTTTTAATTCGGGGGGGGGGGGGGGGAAGGGGGGGGGGGGGGCAATTTTTATTCTCTAGTTTCTTAGAAAAGAGCTTTGAGGAACCTAAAAGGAAACAAAATGATCCGAAGAATTTATATCAAAAGAATGTGAATCTCCAAAGTAGCATATAGCCAACTTGTGGTTAAGCTGCTGAATGCTGTAGGTGTTGCAAAGAACATGTTAAGGACCTTTATTTTGTTTAATTTTATGTTTATGTTTTTATTTCCCTAAATGGATTTATGGATTTGATGGACTGCTTTGATAAGTCATACACTCTTCAAAATAAAAGGATTTTTCTCAGCAGTGCCATAGAAGAACCATTTTTGGGATCCTCAAAGAACCTTTCAGTGAACAGTTCTTAAAAGAAACTTTATGCCATTTATAAATACTGGTACCTCATAAAAGTGTCATTCTGTGTGACTTCATACAATTTCCCTTTTCCTTCCGAGACACAGGACATCATAAATTTCAATTGTTCAGTTTTCAGTATAGTGGCAGTTTATCTCATTTTAAAGGATGTAGCACAGTGAAAGCTGTTATTCAAGACACTTAGAAGACATTGTAAATTGTCATTTTTCTCCTGCTGAAATAATTAATGCCACTCTAAGCTCATTAGCTACAATGCATGTTAGAGTCACTGAGATGGATGCTGAGACATTCACCAAACCAGAAAGATTCTCATGTCTTTTAGCATCAAAACATAATGTCAGTCTGCTTCAGCAAACTTGAAAAACATGTTCATGAATCCCTAATGGTTGCTGTGGGAAAAAAAATGACACGACAAGGTCGAGCCCGGTCATGAGACGACCTTAACAAATTCCTCAAGGACTAGTCATAGCTTTTTCTGTCGTAAACTTTTTAAGTCAGCCACTGGCTATCCTTAGTTCATTTAAACAACTACTTAACCAGCGGCTTTCAGAAGGTTACATTTGTTTGTCTTTCAGCCCGTGACGGACGCACCTCTCCCTCCATATAAAACAAACAGACAGTGTTTAACTTCATAGAAAGTTTGGCATCAGTTTGAACAAGACATAGTCTTACTCAAGTGCTTTACTCAAGGTCAAACATAGCACCTTCGGCTGATGGCAGTAGCACAGATATTGAAGCTTGTAATCATGAGTTTAAACACTACGCTATTGTTCTAGTTGTTTTGTTTGTTGGGAGCCGTATAATGCCAATCAGTGGGGTGGGGTTGTCTAGACTCAAAGGGGGAACACGTGTTTGTGTAATGACCAAAATAGTGGACCAAAAGAGACAGCAGATAAACCTTAAGTATCCCTTGGCCAGCCAACACCATTTAATGTAGAGTTCTCTTGTGTGGATTAGACGCCATTGAGGCCAAACTTCCATTATTGTATTTTGTCTGAGTCACAAGGTTTCTTTCTAAACCGCCACCTACAGAATTCTCAGTGTTTATCTGAATAGTGTGAGTTCAAGAAAATTTCGGCCATTTTTCACATTCATGGGATTCAATAAAAGTCTTTTTTTTACTGGTGTCCCATTGGGACCAGTTTTTACTTACCCTGCCAACTTGTTTTATTTTTATCAACAAATTGTATGTGTCAGAACTAAGTCTATTTATATTTAATTTTGTTTTATTTAGTTTCATTAAATGTAATTGAATATCTGGAAATTAAAAAAAAAAAATCTAAATTTTAAATATTTTTGAAAGAAGTTCCATATGCTTACCAAGGCTGCATTTCTTTTATCAAAAATATATTTTAAAAATGAATTTTATTCCTGTGATGCAAAGCAGAATTTATTCCAGTCTTTATAGTCAGATGATCCTTCAGAAATCATTCTGAGAAACTAATTTGCTGCTGACGAAATGTGATGATGAAACTAACTTTGAAAGGCAGTGTATGTATATATTCTAATAATATATAATGTGATTTCCTGAAAGTTCTAAATTTACAGGTTTGGTGGAAAATTATACATGCATTGCAGAACGTACAGGTTTTTTTTTTTTTCGATGGTTCTAACACAAGTCAC